CCCAGAAAAGAACCCAGGAGGCCTTCGAGGGCCCCAAATCATTGAATACTGAACGGCAACTCATAATGTGTGCGTTTCCGCGGTTCCTGTTCTATGCGGTTACAAGGCTCGCGCAGGGCTTCCAAGAGAGCCCCTGGATGCAAGAAGCGACCACGATGATATTCCATGTGTTCGCCCATCAAGCCTAGCTAAAACTTGAACCCGCGCGAAGGGCGCGCGATGGTTTTATTATATATATATATATATACACACACGACCACCCTGCCGGTGATAAGGAGGTTGTGGGGGGGGTGGGGGGAGGGGGGTGGCTCATGACGACAACTGTGATGAACGTGGTGCTGATGGGCGGTGATGGTGTGGATGACGTGGCGGATTTTTTGTTGTTCCTTCGCTTGGGCGACTTGTGTCGTTCGGTTTGCCGCTGCGCGACGCTGCACTCAGCCCACCGGCGGGACAATCAATGATGAGCAACCATGATGAGCAACCGGCGGGACCATGATGAGTAACCATGATGAACAACCATGATGAGCAACCGGCGGGACAATGATGAACAACCATGATGAGCAACCGGCGGAACAATTATGAGCAACCATGATGAGCAACCATGATGAGCAACCATGATGATCAACCGGCGGGCAACCAACGGGACAACGTGGGCTACCGCTTGACAAGGCCGGGGGGGGGAAACATTTGTGTTGGCGGACCCCTAGCGACAGCAGAGTGAATTCCTCTCGCTGGCCCACGCAGCTTCGCCTCGCCCGTACGCACGGCACGAGCACGAACTCGAAACTCGATTTCCTGGTGGGGGGACTCCGTTACACTGCGATCTCACCCCCCAACCTCCGATTAACATTTATATATACATACATGCATGCATGCATACATACATACATGTGTGGTTATAGTATAACAAGAGTATTAATAATCATAATGACAACAACAACAACAACAACAACAACAACAATCATTTTACCCGAACGCTCAGTGTTCTCACCAGTGCCAGGGTTTTCATGCGACGCGAGACAATACCCCCACTTCGTGGGGGGGCAGTTCAAGCTCTACCAAATATCCAAACGACTCTTCGCGACCACCCAAACCCAGCTTCCCGCCCTATGACGTTGGGACACTTCACTTCGTGGCGTGCGGACGACCGTGGCTACTACACTGGCGTGGGGTACACACCCACAGAACTTGGTCACTTATTCGGGGCGCGCGTGTGCCCAGCATCCTGCAATTGTGACATACAATACATGACACAGACAGACAGAGAGAGAGACAGAGAGCAGACAGAGAGAGAGACAGAGAGAGCGGAGTTGGTCACATTTTTGGGGCAAGTTCCTGAGATCGTCGTGTTTTTTGTTGGTCTTGCGCGCGCGAATGTCCACTTTACTTTTTTTTGCAAGGGATGTTGAAATTTGATTATGTAAGAACAAGAAAAAGTAGCTCGCGCGAGCTTATGTAACATAAATGTTGAAAAACCATTGGTTTTGTGGGAGTCGGACAGCGCGCGCGGGATGAAATTTGGACATTTTTTTTTGAAAAACCATTGGCTTTTTGATGTTTTTATGTTGAAATCGTTACGAAACCTAAGGTTCTGGAAGGATTTCGTCTTGCGCGCGCGAATGTCCACTTTACCTTATTTTTTGCAAGGGATTATTGAAATTTGATTATGTTAGAACAAGAAAAAGTAGCTCGCGCGAGCTCATGTAACATAAATGTTGAAAAACCATTGGTTTTGTAGGATTCGGACAGCGCGCGCGGAAGGACATTTTGACAATTTTTTCTTAAAAAACCATTGGGTTTTTGATGTTTTTATGTTAAAATCGTTACGAAACCTAAGGTTTTGGAAGGATTTCGTCTTGCGCGCACGAATGTCCACTTTACCTTATTTTTTGCAAGGGATTCTTGCAATTTGATCAAGTAAGAACAAGAATTTTCATTTTATAGTGTTTTTTGCAAGGGAAAACGGATTACAACAAAACAACCGGATCCGGTACCAATCCACTTTTCTGAAGCTTTCGCGAAAAAATGATGAAAATGTAGCTGCGGCCTAGGTTTTGGAGGGGGGTCGTGCACCAGGGGTCCCAACAATAATTATTCTTTAGAAGTAATAATGTTCAATACTAAACATAAAAGTTACCAGGCTCGTAATAGTAATAAAATTAAGTAACATCATTATTAATATTATTTGTTACCGCCCCCTCCTCGGGGGCCCGCGCACCTCGCAACCATATGGGGCAAATTCTCGGTACCACCCTCCCAGGTGCCCACGAGAGCTTTGGGAGGGCCTCAAGGCGGCCCAGGACGACCCCGAGACAGCCCACAATCGTTCCAAGTCCAGGACGGCCCGCCGACGGCCCTGGATACCTCCAAGATTGCCCCAAGAGGTCTCTAAGAGTCCCCCAAGAACTCTGGGGAAGCCCTCGAGAGGCCAACAGCATTGAAAAACAATGCAACACATATGACGTGTGTGAATTCGCACTTCCGCATCCGATGCGCTTCCGAGGCCTGCGCATGCCCTTCAAGAGAGAGAGTTTCAAGATGCCCCCAAGGGGCGCCCCGAGTGGGGCGAAGGGGCCCCAAGAAGCCACAAGAGGTTCCCATGACGCCCCAACAGGCACCACCGAGGCCCCAAGGACGCTCCGAAGAGGCCCCAACGAGCCCCCAGAGGTGCCCCAAAGGTGCCAGGGACCGAAGAGGGCCCCGAGAGGCCCTCAAGAGCTCCCAATGGGCACCCAAGAGGCCCCAAGATGTCCCAAGAGACGCTCCCGACAAGCTCCAGAGAGGGCTTCCAAGACACCCCGAAGACGCCGCCGGGAGACTGCGCTGAGACATCCCAGGTGGCGGCAAACCCGGAGGAGGCGGCTCCTCTCTCCTCGTCTCTCCCTTCTCCCTGATCCCGCTCTCCTCCTCTCTCTTCCCCGCTACGCCCTCGTAAACTGATAAAGAATCACAGGCTCCTGGCCTCCTCAAAGCCTCTTAGGAACGCGCTGGAGGCTCTCTTGGAGCGTCTTGGAAGCCTCTTGGATTTTGCGGAGGCCATGTTCAGCGGATCGTCTTCGAGCCATCCTGATTCTCAGAGACCGTCTTGGGTGTATGTATCTTAGGCTGTTTTGGAGGCCTCATGGGCTGTATTCATACCTTTTGGGGGCCCCAGGGAAGGAGTATTAACACATGGGGGCTTCCTAGGGTTAGCCCATCCAGCCTGGCTAAAACATGGAGAACCGAGGCCAGGGCTCCATCAAGCTGTCTCCCTTGTACGTTTCCAGGTTCCCCGCTTTGGGGGCCTCAGAGAGCACCCAAAGAGGGTTTCAAGACGGGCCCAAGAGGCCCAAGAGGCCCCCAAGACGAAGTTTGAGGGCCCCGAGGCGGCCTAAGAACGCTTGAAGAAGCCCAAGATAGCTTCAAGTAGGCCCACGAGGGTCCCAAAACGTTCCTAAAGGTCACCAAGAGGACCCCTAAGAGGTCCCCAGGAGGCCAAACTCGTAAGTTGTCCTTGGGTGTTTGACCGGTTTTAGCGTTATCGCTCGTTCGGCCTTCCAACGCTGCAAGACGGCCCGAGAGGTCCCCCTTGACAGCACCACGACAGCCCAAGAGATCCCCGTGACGGCCCGAATGCGACCCAAGAGAGCGCCAAGACGGCCGCCAAGACGGCCGAAGAGGCATTCAAGACGGCCCCCGACATTTCGAGCCCAGACGCCAAGAGCCCCGGGGAGGCCCCCGAGGCGCCGCCCCAGAAGTCCCCCCTAGAGCCTTGCAAGAACGTCCCCCGAAAGCATCCAACTAGACTCCCAGCATGGTTTTGCCAGGCTCTTAAGGACTCTCGGGAATCCCCCCTTAGGCTGCCTTGGGTTCTCCTAGTGGCTGCCTTGCGTTCCTTCCTGGAGCTGTCCTTGGCGCTTTCCAAAAAACAGCTGGGGGATCCGCCCTACGCGCATACCTATGGTGGCTCGAAGTCATGCTGAACGTCGCCTCCATTAGAAGAGTGAGCCGCGTCATCCCCCGCAGCGTTGGCAAACGACGACGACGAGGACCAGACCACGACGGTGACGACGGCGACGACAACGACGGTGACGACGCCGACGACGCCGACGACGAACGACGTGTCCCGCGTGGCCGACCGATTCGCCCACGATGACGTCGAAGACGTGTCCCGCGCGCCCGACCAACAGACTCGCCGACGATAACGACGACGACGACGACGCCAACAATGACGACGACGACGACGACGACGACGACGACGACGACGATTACGTCGACGACGGTGGCGGCAACGGCGGCGACGGCGGCGGCGGCGGCGAGGGGGGAGGGTTGAACGCCCCCCTGGCTTTCGGAAGCGGGGGTGGGAGTGGCTGCGGGGTGGTTTCGGGGGGGGAGTTCTAGAAGAGGACGGGGGGCGGAGGGGCTGCAAAGAGCAGCGGCCCCGCCCGCGCGGCACCCCGCCGGTTCCCAACTCTGGGGAGGGGCCGCCGGGTGGACCCCTCCCTGGTGGGCTTAACGCTGGGCGCCCTCTGCAGCGGCGGCGGGCGTCGGCTGGAAAGCCCCCGGCCGAGGGCAGCAGGGCGCCCGCCTGCGAGTAGGGGCCCGCGCTTGGCGACCAGACCAGACGCGCGGTTCCGATAGCGCAGGTCTCGTCAAGCCGAGCGGAAGAAGGAAGGTCGTCCAGGGCTGGGGATCTCGCGTTTTTGCACCAGCGAGACGTACACAGAAGACGCTCTGCCCGACATTGGGATGTGTCCTCTGCCTGTTGGAGAGAGGAGTACAATCAAGTGTTGCTAACTGTTAGAGCCGCGCGACACTCTGACAGCGTCTATGGGCGCCATTGTGCACTGTCAGTGTACAGTCGACGACACAGCCGTTGAGCTCTTGCCCAGAAGCCTTGGGAGCCCCCCCGAGGCCCGATACGGACCAAATATAGGCACGCCAAGTTGTCGAACTTCGATCTGGCGCCGGCGGTATCGGTCGTCGGCGGCTGCAACGACGTTGGTAGCGGCGAGAAGGCGTACTTCCACAAGCACCGCGACCTCGCTGGCCGCCCGGTCCTGGTCGTCGTCGCGCAGCGGCACAACTTGTTCGAGCGCCGCCTGGACAGCGGGGGCAAGTGGGGGGGCCTCCCGGGCGCCCTCGTGGCCACTTCCCTCCCCTTCGTCCCCCCCGCCCCTACCCAAGCCACCAATGTCTTTTTGTGTGCAGTTTTGGCGGCCGAGGGGATGATGGGCCGAAGGCTCTAAGCCCCCCACTCAGCATAAATATCAAAGATTGCACGATGGGACTGCTCCAGAGCCCATGAGGGCCCAGCAGGGATCCTGGCCCTAGGGGTCCTTCGGGCGTTCCAAGGACATCCGCATGATTCAATGCTAGCAGGTCTTGGCATTCAAGAATGAGTGCCAGTTCTCTCGAGCCAGCGCCTAGCGAACTCTGACTGCCGAAGCTCTGACCCGACACGGCTTGTTCTCCTGCCCCTCGCCCTCCTCCGCCTCCTCCTCCTCCTCCTCATCATCATCGTCATCATCAGCATCGTCTTCATCAGCATCGTCATCGTCATCATCATCATCATCATCATCATCATCATCATCATCATCATCATCATCATCATCATCACTAGCATCATCATCACCACCACCACCATCATCATCATCATCATCATCATCATCATCATCACCATCATCATCATCATCACCACCATCATCATCATCATCATCATCATCATCATCATCATCATCATCATCGTCCCCCTCCTCCATCTCCCCTCCATCCTCCTGTCCTCCTCCTCGTTCGCCCTCCCCCTCCTCCTCCCTCCTCCTCCTCTTCCTCCTCCTCCACCTGTAACGAAGAGGATGAGAGCTGCAGCATGTGCGCGTGGTTCCTGGAGCAGACCATGGACAAGCTCGCCACGCTGGACCCCCCGGCGCGGCCAAACGAGGCTCTGCCACTGACCGCTCGACGACGTCGGTTTCGACCTGCGACGACGACGCGGACGTCGTCGTCGTCGTTGCTGTAGATCCGAGGCTCCGAAAAATTTGCATCGGCTAGTTCTGGGCAATTGTCAGCCTCGAGGGCCCTGACTGGGCACCAGGACCGTCAAGAAACGGCTCGGAATGAAAAACCGACCGGAAAGGGTCTGGACTTCCAGGGTTGTTATTGTCCTCCTCGCCCTCGTCCTCGTCCTAGTCCCCATCCTCTGCACCTTGAGCCCGAGGGGCACATCTACCAACACCCGGCCGTCCTCGTGTTCTCCCCCCCTCCTCCTCGCCTTCGGCTCTGGCGATATTGGCGAGCGAGATGCCAAGACCTTTGGCGGCCTGAACACAGCGCTCTTGAGGTTGTGCACTGTTTTCGTCGTCCAGGGGCCGTCTCCTGGCCGAGCTGGTCCTGCGGAAAGGGTCGAGAGTTTCTGGAGCCAGCGACTCGAAAAAGTCGATTCGGTGAAGATCTGGGATTGTAGTTTCGCTCTGGAAGCCCTCGAAGCTGAGACCTAAACTCGTGTCGTTGTGACCCCCCATGACTCTGGGCCTTGGCGTTCAGCCAAGCTCTATCGCCTTATGACGTTTTCCGCGTTCTGTTGACGACTCGATTTGAATTATTGTTCCTTCTCCTCCTCCTCCTGATCTTCCTCCTCCTCCTCATCTTCCTCGTCTTCCTCCTGCTCCTCCTCCTCCTCCTCCTCCTCCTGCCCCCTCCGCCTGCCCCGTCCTCCTCCTCCTCCTCCTCCTTCTCCTCCTGCTGGATCCGCAGCCCCGGCACGCACCTAGCTTTGAGGTGCATGTCCACTGGGGCTAGGCGTGTCGCGGCCGAATCCTTATCACACAAAATTATGCTAACGGAGTTCCCCACATAAAGAGATTAACGGTTTCGTGGGACCCATTTTCTTGATGCCCTCCTCGCTTTGGCAGGGCCCCGCTGGAAGGGGGGAGGGCTACGAAACCTGGCGAAGAGTAATGCTTTCCGCGACCCTCCTCGTTCAAGCGCGGCCTCTCTGGAGGAGTGGAGGGGGGCACGAAACCATGTAAATAGTATGGTTTTCGGATACCCTCCTCGCTCAGGCGGGGCCTCCCTGGAGGGGTGGGAGGGGCACGAAACCATGTAAATAGTATGGTTTTCCGATACCCTCCTCGCTCAGGCGGGGGCCTCCCTGGAGGGGTGGGAGGGGCACGAAACCATGTAAATAGTATGGTTTCCGATACCCTCCTCGCTCAGGCGGGGCCTCCCTGGAGGGTGGGAGGGGCACGAAACCATGTAAATAGTATGGTATTCCGATACCCTCCTCGCTCAGGCGGGGCCTCCCTGGAGGGGTGGGAGGGGCACGAAACCATGTAAATAGTACGGATACCCTCCTCGCTCAGGCGGGGCCTCCCTGGAGGGTGGGAGGGGCACGAAACCATGTAAATAGTATGGTTTTCGGATACCCTCCTCGCTCAGGCGGGGCCTCCCTGGAGGGGTGGGAGGGGCACGAAACCATGTAAATAGTATGGTTTTCCGATACCCTCCTCGCTCAGGCGGGGCCTCCCTGGAGGGTGGGAGGGGCACGAAACCATGTAAATAGTATGGTTTTCCGATACCCTCCTCGCTCAGGCGGGGCCTCCCTGGAGGTGTGGGAGGGGCACGAAACCATGTAAATAGTATGGTTTGCCTCCCTGGAGAGGTGGGATGGGGCACGAAACCATGTAAATAGTATGGTTTTCGGATACCCTCCTCGCTCAGGCGGGGCCTCCCTGCAGGGGTGGGAGGGGCACGAAACCATGTAAATAGTATGGTTTTCCGATACCCTCCTCGCTCAGGCGGGGCCTCCCTGGAGAGGTGGGAGGGGCACGAAACCATGTAAATAATATGGTTTTCGGATACCCTCCTCGCTCAGGCGGGGCCTCCCTGGAGGTGTGGGAGGGGCACGAAACCATGTAAATAGTATGGTTTTCCGATACCCTCCTCGCTCAGGCGGGGCCTCCCTGGAAGGGTGGGAGGGGCACAAAACCATGTAAATAGTATGGTTTTCCGATACCCTCCTCGTAGGTATGGTACGGTATGGTATGATATGGTATGGTATGGTACTGGAGGTATGGTATGGTATGGTACGGTGTGGCATTGGTGTGATATGGTATGGTATGCTATGGTACGCCATGGTATGGTATGGTACGGTATGGTACGTATGGTGGTATGGTATGGTATGGTATGGTATGGTATGGTATGTGTGGTAGGAACTATGGTATGGTATGGTGTGTGTGGTAGGAATAATATTGCGCTGTATGGAAGATGGAGCGGGAGGTGGGTGGGAAGGAGAGGGTGTTCTGGGAAAACAAGAACCCCACTCAGGATGTGGGGAAAAAGAAGGAATGGGGTGTGCCCATCAGGGAAATTTTCTCTACACACAGGGTGGAGGGCGCCACTCCACCCGGGTGCCGGCGACAGGGCGCACCCCTAAAATGTAGCAGCGGCGAAGAACGTTCACCAGCTCCACTGGCTCTTGGGACAGCATCGCCTTGACACCGTCCCAGGGCCGCAAAGCTGGTCACTGGGCTGCCCTGGGCGAGAGCCAGAAGAGACCCGAAGCAGCTCGAGGACGAAGCGTATGGCACAGCAGCGCTGTTTAGATCCGACAGCGGGCCGCATCCCTTCCATTTGGGAAAGAACCAACAAGAGATGCGGACACCTTGCGTCGCGAAGCAGGCTGGAAGAGGGGAGGAGGGAGCCGGAAGGAGCCGGGAGGCGGAGGAGACGCGGGCGCGGGCGTGTGGTGAGAGCCACCCGACACCACCATGAGGCGCCGCGCTCACGCGTCGGAGGCAAGGAGCGGGAAAGAAGAGGGGGGAGAGGGAGAGGAAGGCGCTGGAAGCGGGCAGCTGTGGCGAGCGCGCGGCGAGCGTGCAGCGCGCGAGCGTGCGAAGCCGCAACGACTACGGAGGAAGAGGAGGGAAAGGGAGGAGGACGCGGCGGAGGAGGAGGAAGAGGAGGAGGAGGAGGAGGAGGAGGAGGAGGAGGAGGTGGGGGAGGAGGGGGAGGAGGGGGAGGAGGGGGAGGAGGGGGAGGAGGAGGAGGAGGAGGAGGAGGAGGAGGAGGAGGAGGGAAAAAGGAGAAGAGGTTGGCTAACTCAGAAGAAAACCGCAGTGGGCATGGGCCAATCAGCCCGCCGAGAGCACGTTCCCGGCGTTGCCCATCTGCACCAGGACAGACAGGCTCCGCCAGGCGGCCCCCAGCACCCGCGACCTCTCGGCGGGGTCCGCCGGGGCTAGAGAACGCAAGAGCTCGCCGGCGCTCTCATCGACCCGGCCGAGACACTCTATTACACAAGGTGTAAGGCTAGGCTCGGGATAGCGCGTGCGCTTCTTGTCCTCTGCCGCTGTTGCTGCAGCTCCGTCTCTGGCGGCCCCCTGCCGCCGCTCGTGCCCGTCCGGTAGGAGGAGGAGGAGGAGGCGGAGGAGGAGGAGGAGGAGGAGGAGGAAGAGGAGGAGGAGGAGGAGGAGGAAGAAGAGGAGGAGGAGGAGGAGGGGGGGGAAGAGGAGGAGGAGGAGGAGGAAGAGGAGGAGGACCCAAGGGGCTCCTCGGAGGGTCTCAGTTAGAGTTCAAAGACGTCTCGGTTAGAACCCTCTTGGCCACCAAGCAATACTCAAGTGCGTTCCCAGGCCGTGCCATACATTGGGTGGTCTTGCATTTCAAGGAGTTGCGAGCCCTGTTCCTCAGCCCAGAGCGCAGGGAGGACTACCGCCACGTCCTGTTGCGCCAGTGGGAAAGGCTACCAGTGCGAGGTGGCCCTTTTCAGGCGCTACTGGAGGCAAGGCACTTCGTTCTGGCATCCCTTTTTGGTGACCTGTGCTCAGCATTTACTGGCCAAGAGGTCGGCTGAGGAGCAGGTCAATTTCATCGACGCCTGTCTGCCCTTTGTCACCGTCTTTCTTCGCATGGGGCAGCTGGAGGACAGGAGTAAGGCCAGAGCAGCATGGGAGGAATGGAGTAGAGATGCAGTCAGCAATGGTGGAAGGCGAGCTTATTCTTTTCTCCGCTCGGGAGTACCACTTCGCGAGGAAGTTGCGGAGGAGGGCGGAGCGTTTTCCAGTTCTTTGCCAGTGCGCCTCCGCGCAGAGACCAAGTTGTGGAGTAAAGCCTGGGCAGCAGCAGCCGATGCCAGTTCTGTTCAGCCTCCCCTTGAGCTCCCTGCAGTATCAGTGCCAGTCCCAGGTCCAGTCCCTCCAGAACAACTTCAGCACATTGGGTCGCGGTTTGCAAAGTTTACTTGTTGCCCAGATGGGCTTCATCCTCGCCACTTTGGGTTGTTGAGTCTGGAATCCTTGGGAGTTGTATCTTGGATGTACCACCTAATGGACGTGGTAGGTCAGGCCCCGTCTTCTATGCAGCAGTTGGTTGTCTTCTTAATGGGCCGCCCTGACAAAGGGAGAAGGCCCATTGGCCATTACAATGCTTTCGAGAGGCTTCACGGAAAGACCCATCGGGATCCTTGTCGTCGTTGGGAATGTGATGTGGGGCTAGGACCGCAGTTCTCTATGGGGCAGGGCCGTAGTTGCCTTGACATCGTGTGGCGTCAAAGTGTACAAGCGGAACTAGCCTCTGGGACCAAAGTTCACTATGGGACGTTGCTTTGGGACCTCCTCCAGTTCTACGAGCACATAGGACATCAGGAGTTAGTAAATCAAGGGTTTTCGTGCCACTTCCCCCTCCACGTTCTGATTTATACCATCTCCACCTATCGGTGGACCAGGTACCTGTTATTAGATGGAGCGTACTCGGAAGGAATCACTCCCACCCAGGGAATCGTTGCGGGTAGCACCTCAGCCATCTACGAGGCCAAAGCGTTTATGCTACCTTCCGTACAGAGGTCTACAGGTGTGCCCGACACAGGACTCGGGCTGCACATCGACGATCTCTCGTTTCACTCGTGGCACGAGAGCGAGCACGTCTGCGTGGCCAACCTCAAGGCGTTAGCCACGACCATGGCCTACTATATCTCCTCCACCCTCCGTGTCCCGCTCGCCGAGAGGAAAATGATGGTGACGGGAAACTCGTTGAGGTTCGTGAAGGACATCCGTGAGGCTCTGGGTCAACTAAGTGGCTCTAGGGCGCACGCCCCAGGGAATCTTGGAGTGGCGTTCTCTGCGGGCAAGCACCAACACACGCCTTTGGCTCGGGCTATTCGCAAGAAGAGGTTTCGGATTTTTCGGGCCCGTACGAAGCGTCTGGCATTCTTGAAGGTGTCTCGGCGTATTCGTGCCCGACTGTTCAAAAGTGGGTGCCTCAGTACTGTATCTTATGGGATGGAGGTTCAAGGGGTTGCGCCTACTGAGATTCTACATATGAGGAGGGCCTCTGCCAGGGCCGCAGGTATCAGTAAGAAGGGCTGCAACTTGGACCTCATGTGGGCTGTGCACAAGCATCGTGGGGACCCCCTCTACCTTGCCTCAGGACCTCTCAAAAGGTACGCGTGGGAATGGTGACACTCCAGTGAGCCCTCTAGCTTTGGACGACCTCGACACAGTGACGCCCTGACTCCAGGCCAACTAAGTAGAGTGTTTCACAGTGCCGTCGCCACCCTCCAGACCACCCAGCGGAAGCCGTGGTTGTATAGGACGCGTGGCCCCATATCTGCCATGCTGTTATGGTTGGAAGCTGGCGGTTGGTCTTGGGAGGGTCCTGCTACCTCTGTTTCTAGGTCTGGGTTCAAGTGGATCCTCACGGAAAGGCCACCTGCCCAAGTGGCGGACGCTTTCACCCGAGACCTCCAGGATGTGTATCTCAGGAGGTACCTTCTCAAGCACCTGCCGAGTACAGGTGTTGAGCATGAGATTTCGTCCAGAGGGCTGCGGCTACCTGCCATCCAGAGAGTAGCAAAAGCCCTGGACGGAGGTCAGCGTCATGTTTTCTTTCAACTTTTAGCAGGATCGACGCCTACAGGAGCATCCATGTCCAAGTGGGGCTATGAGGTGTCCGATCTCCGCCCGCACTGTGGCGATAGCGACGCGGTGTGGCACAGGTGCTGGACTTGCACGCACAGGCCAGCGGTAGTTGCTAGGAAAGAACATTTCTGCCAAGAGCTTATCGACCAGGCCATAGCTGCAGGGCCAGAGTCGTGTCTTTCCAGTCGTCTTTGGGCCCCCTTCCCCGACCTTCCCGAGCCTGCCCAGGACTGGGATTTGAGGTTCTTCGAAGGAGAAGGGGTGCCCTGTGAGCCATTCTGGTTTCAACCCGAGGACACCTTATTTACTGACGGGTCTTGCTTTCATGGGGACATCCCCGAAATCGCCAGGGCTGGCCTTGCTGTAGTTCACATGGATGGGGAGAGACCTGTCAGAGGAATCTACGGACCCCTACCTAAGGAGTTTGCTCAGCAAGCGACTGATGCTGAGCATGCAGGCCTAGCAGTTGCTATACTTAGGACGCAGCAAGAAGAGACCCAGCCAAAACCTATCTCTGTTGACTGTGCGGCGTTGGTGTCTGGGTCCAGGTCTCCTAGGAAGGTTTTGGAAGGGTTTTCCAGGCTGCACTTCGTCTGGAGGGAGATCAGTAGGCACTGTAAAGGTTGGCCCTCCCTCACGAAGGTCAAGGCCCACCGCAGCATGGAGAGTGCTACCAATTTTGAGGATGGGTGCGCCATCTCTGGCTCGACTGCGGTGGATTATTGGGCCCAGCAAGGAGCCAGAATTCATTGTCTCAGTTCAGGGGAAGTTTCGTCTTTTGAAGAAGGGATGGCGGAATATGCCTCCCTTGCTGCAGGATTAGTCGCGATCCTGTCGGTGTGGCCCCCTTCTGAGTCAGCGTTCAGAGGTGCGAATCGGCCCGCGCGGGCCAAAGTGCCCATAGCACCCTCCAACCACCTCCCCGTCCCCCATGGAAAGGGTTATAGGTGCAAGAGGTGCTTGCGAGCCATCACACCTGTGACCACCACCCAGTGCGCCAACCCCAACCCCACGCTTGTGTCTCTTCTGCGTGGGGGTGGTGGGGCACGGCACAAGTTGCATTGGGCGCGGTTGGTGGAAACGGATGTGCCGTTGATTTTGCATTGCATGTGGAGGGATCGCGTGTGTACGTGCGGGGCCTAGACTCCTCAGTGATTGTAATCCCCCTGTGAGAAGTGCTGAAAGGAGCAAACTTCTCCGAGGACTGTATCCTGGGACTAACTACAGGCTGGGCCCTTCCCTGCCTTTGTCGTCCCTCCCGTTTTATCCTCTGTCGTTTGCCTCGTCCTCGTCTGGCCCCGTTCCTGGAGGTGACCGAGACCTTGGTAGCCCTGGGCGGAGCGATTCTGCCAGCACCGCTGCCCAGAGTCTGACTCAGGTGCGGTCGCGGCTTCTGGGTGAAGAGGACGATGCGCCCCTGCTCCCACCCTTCGGAGGCAGGAGCCCATCCGACGACAGTGACTGATTGTGGTAGGGCGTCGGCCGATCATGGATTGACCAGGCGCGCCAAGGTCTGAGAGGTCTGAGAAGAGAAGGAGGAGGGGGCAGGAGGGGGAGGAGGGGGAGGGAGAGGAGGAGGAGGAGGAGGAGGAGGAGGAGGAGGAGCAGGAGCAGGAGGAGGAGGAGGAGGAGGAAAAGGAGGAGGAGAGGAGGAGGAGGAGGAGGACGGGGCAGGAGGAGGAGGAGAAGGAGGAGGAGGAGGAGGAGGGGGATGAGAACGACCCAGGCTTCCGACGGCTAGACTCTGTCGAGCCGTCGACCCTCTGCAGCTCTCCTCTCCCGGGACCGGCTTTCGGCCTTGAGGTGTCTCGGGACGCTTGGGAGCGCAGCAGGCTCGGTGAGCTCCAGCTCGGGCCCCTGGTACAGATCGTCACAGGCCAGAGCTGCTGCTCGGGCGCGGCCCTCCTCGCCCCATGTGGGCCTGGGGCCCAGCCCGCCCGCGCGGCCCGCGCGGCGAAGGACGTGCACGCGCACCCGCGGTGGCAGCAAAAGCTCATCAGCGATGATCTCCCAAGCTGCTGCCACATGCACGCTCGCAGAGATACCACAGGCGGAGCGCCCAGCCAGCTGGACTGGCAGCGCGGCACCACACTAAGGAGGAGGAGAGCAGGAGGAGGAGGAGGGAGGAGGAGGAGGAGGAGGAGGAGGGGGCAGGCGGAGGACGGAGAAGGAGGAGGCGGGAGGAGGAGAGGCGAGGAGGAGGAGGGGGATGAGAACGACCCAGGCCTCCGACGGCTAGACTCTGTCGAGCCGTCGACCCTCTGCAGCTCTCCTCTCCCGGGACCGGCTTTCGGCCTTGAGGTGTTTCGGGACGCTTGGGAGCGCAGCAGGCTCGGTGAGCTCCAGCTCGGGTTCCTGGTACAGATCGTCACAGGCTAGAGCTGCTGCTCGGGCGCGGCCCTCCTCGCCCCTGTGGGCCTGGGGCGCAGCCCGCCCGCGCGGCCCGCGCGGCGAAGGACATGCACGCGCACTCGCGGTGGCAGCAAAAGCTCATCAGCGATGATCTCCCAAGCTGCTGCCACATGCACGCTCGCAGAGATACCACAGGCGGAGCGCCCAGCCAGCTGGACTGGCAGCGCGGCACCACACTAAGGAGGAGGAGGAGCAGGAGGAGGAGGAGGAGGAGGAGGAGGAGGAGGAGGAGGGGGCAGGAGGAGGAGGAGAAGGAGGAGGAGGAGGAGGAGGAGGAGGAGGAGGAGGAGGGGGATGAGAACGGACCCAGGCCTCGACGGCTAGACTCTGGTCGAGCCCTCGACCTCGCAGCTCTCCTCCCCCGGGGGACCCGGCTTTCGGCCTTCAGGCGTTTTTCGGGACGCTGGGAGCGCAGCCGGCTCGGTGAGCTCCAGCTCGGGCCACCCTGGTACAGATCGTCACAGGCCAGAGCTGCTGCTTCGGGCGCGCCCCTCTCGCCCTGTGGGCTGGGGCCCAGCCCGCGCGCGGCCGAGCGGCGAAGGACGGATGCGGCACCCGCGGTGGCAGCAAAAGCTCATCAGCGATGATCTCCCAAACTGCTGCCGCATGCACGCTCGCAGAGATCCACAAGGCGGAGCGCCCAGCCGATGGACTGGCAGCGCCGGCACCACACTAAGGAGGAGGAGGAGGACGGAGGGGAGGAGGGAGGAGGAGGAGGAGCAGGAGGAGGAGGAGGAGGAGGGCGAAACACGAGGCGAGCAGACGCGAACATGCAGGAGGGGATGTGGACGGCAAAGGCAGCAGCAAGCAAGCACGTTGGGGGCGGGCGGGGGGCAGGGGAAGGGACGACGGTCGGCGGCGGCGGTCGGGGGGTGGTCGTGGGTCGTCGCGGGACTGGGGGTCGTCGTGAGTCGTCGGGGGGCCGGTGGTCATCGCGGGCTGGGGGGTGGGGGATGGGGTTGGTCAGGGGCGGAGGGCGGCCTGGGGCAGTGTGGCGGCCGCTCACGCGGCGTCCGCCGCCTGCGCCGCCGTCGCTGCGACCAGCCTGGCCGCGGGCGCCCCGCGTGGCGCCTGCAGACCGTCTGCAGCAGACGGCGGAGCACGGCCCGCGCACTCTCCTTGTGAAGGAGTAGCGAGAGTCGCTGGGCGTGCTCCGCCGCCGCCTGCGCAGGGTCTTCCCCAGAGGCGTCCGCCGCGCGCTTCGCCACGACGGCCACCGCGCGGCGCGCCTCATTCCCCCCGTGCGCCACCGTGCGCCTCCAGCACCGTCAGACTGATGGTGGGGCCTGCCGCGCGGCAGCTGCGCGCCGTGTCGAGAAACTGGCGCTTCTGCTCCTCGTAGAGCTCGGCGGCGGCGCCGGGCGCGGCGGCTGAGGCAGCTAGCGGAGGTGTTATGTGCTAGCGGCCCCGATGCCCGGGAACGGTTTCTGGACGCCGAAAGCTGCGAACAAGGATCCGGCGCCAGACGTCCGGGGAGGAGTCAGGGCCTCCATAGTCTCCAAGCCAGGATTTTGCCAGATCCGCCTGGAGGAAACCACAGGAGACCGGAACACGGAGAGCGTTTCCACCCAAAGCTGCAGTTCCCTCTGGCGTGCCAGCGTCCTGGTTTGCCAAAGTCTACGTTTACCGGGCCCCGGGAGGAGAGAGGCGTGAGCTCAGGGGGAGCCGCGAGACTGTGGCAAGCACAATGGGTCACAGCAGAGGCACTGAGCCAGCCCTCCATCTCCTTCTCCTCCTCCTATTCCTCCTCCTATTCCTCCTCCTATTCCTCCTCCTCCTCCTCCTCCTCCTCCCCCTCCTCCTCCTCCTCCTCCTCCTCCTCCTCCTCCTCCTCCTCGTCAGGCTTGAGATTGAGGGGCGAGGGTCCAGATTGTCATCGGGTTAGGTCAGTTGCTGGACTTCCAGAGACCTGTGCAAGGGGGAGGTTCAGACGAGGTTAGGACGAGGATCAATCCGTTCCAGTGCGTTCCGGAACGCTCTGCGAAGCTACAGCGCCCGAGACATCCTCCACAGCCGCAGGATCTCCGAAATTATCGGTTTATCCTCGCCCGAATGTATCCTCGTTTTGGATTCGTCTTAGAAGGGGATGGGAGTGAT